TTTAGCTAAGTGTAGATACACAAACATGTACTGTTTATATAATTATCTATAGTATTCATGTTACACAGATTTGTAGCCTAGGAACTACAAACTGTGTCTTACAGTTTATGTTAGTACACGCTGATATTTGCACAATGACAAAATTGCCTAATAACACTTTCTTTTCTTTGGGGGGGGGTGATGATTTTGGGGCTTGTACTCTGGGCCTGGGCACTGTCACTGAGCTTTTTTGCTCAAGGCTAACTTTCTGTCACTTGAGCCACAGCTCCACGTCTGACTTTTTGATGGTTAATTGAAGGTAAGAGTCTCAAAAGCCTTTCCTGCTCAGGCTGGCTTTGAACCATGATCTTCAGATCTCAGCCACCTGAGTAACTAGGATTATAAGGCATGAGCCACCAGTACCCTGCTTAGCAACATATTTCTTGGAATGTATCCCCATAATTAATTGCACATAAAGGACACTTAAATTGATCAGAAAAAGATAAAACTGTATTTTCAAAAGAAAAAGTACATTTATTAAAAGTCTAAAAAGCCACTGAAATGGAGAGACACTATGCTGAAAATGAACTATATAACTTGATGGCAAGGCTGGGAGGGAAAAACTAAGAGAGCTAGGGAAGGGGTAACACTGTCCAAGAAGAAATGTACTCTTTACCTGACTTACACAACTGTGACTCCTCTGTGTATCACCTCTATAATAACAATTTTTTAAAAAACTTTAAAAAAATCTAAAAAGCAAAAATTGATCATTTGCTATCATAAAACTTCTGAGAAGTGCTGATTAATAAAATGTTCTTATACAATTCTTAAGTCAGTATATTTAAGAAATATACACATACACATAAAATGTAACCCATGATGCAATAGGGATCTAATATCATTATGACAAATGCCCTAAATTTGTGTAAAAACCTGAAAGTTAATGGAATCTGAGCTATAGTTAGATAATCAATAACTCCTCTAATAATATATATCCACTTATTTTTTTGTTAAAATTTGTATTGAGCAGTATGGCAGGCATGACATGAAAATTAATAACTTTATTTGCACCTTGATTAACATTTTATGAATATAAATTCAGTTCTGAACAGAAATAAGGATGGATTTTCTGTTAAGGGGACAGAATTTAAATAAAATTAGTACAACTCAACAAAATGGAATAATAGCTCTTTTTTTGGGGGGGGGTCCAGTCATGGGGCCTGAACTCTGGGCCTGGGCGCTGTCCCTCAGCTCTTCAGCTCAAGGCTAGCGCTCTACCATTTGAGCCACAGTGCCACTTCCGGCTTTTTTCTTTTTGCTTATGTGGTACTAAGGAATCAAACCCAGGGCCTCAGGCATGCAAGGCAAGCTTTACCACTGAGCCACCTTCTCAGCCCAGGAATAATAGCTCTTTGTTTCTTGCTAACTCAGTAGCAAATCTATCAAGTTGTTTTAAAAATATTATTCTAAGATATGCAATATTTCTGCAATGACATGATAAAGACTCAAGTTTGTATAGTATCTATATTAAGAGCTGGGTATAGCTTTAAGCTAGTTCTTCCAGAACCTTTCTGTTTAGCTTGGTCCCAAATATGCTTTACATATTAATTTTATAAGATCCATTTATACAGTCATTTACTTACACTGTCATATGGTAGACATTATGATTTTTTAAAATATTTGTTTAAATGAAGATTAGCTACTATAAATAAATATATAATCACAAATAAACTTTAGAATACAGAACCTTAGCATGGACTCTAGTAACCAAAGATAAATTATGGAAGTGGCACTGTGGCTCAAAGTGCTACGTAGAGCGCTAACCTTGAGCAGAAGAGCTCTGGGACAGCACCCAGGCTCTGAGTGCACCCAACCAAAAAAAAGGTCAGCCACAAAGATAAACACACATTGTATATATACAGATACACACATACATATAAAATCTTTCATTAAAAAATGAGGAGGCAACAATGCTTGATAAGATTATGTACTCATTACCTTCTCATGTAATTGTAACCCCTCTGTACAGTATTTTCACAATAAAAAAAAAATGGAAAAAAAGGAGTCAGAATTTTGTCTCATTGACATTCCCAGTTAAAATAGTGTTTCTCTAAAGTTACTGATATGTTGGCAATATGATATCCTTCCACAAAACCATGAATCATATTCTATAGAGAGGACCACTGCTTAGAATACTTTCATTACCACTACTCTTCTTTCTGCTCTGATGGGTTCACCTCCAAGCCAAGCCAAACCAACTCTTGTGAGAGAGTAAAGTCAAATCACAGTTAATGAATGTATACATTATGTACTATCTTTGGCCATGTCTGCTTTTTACAGCTATTACAAGAAATACACTATCCAGAAGGGAAGAAAATAGTATAAAATAATGTAAAAAGGATAAAATTTCTGGTGCTCAATATTTTTGCATCACACTTTGCAAAGTTAGTGTGAGAAAAAAAGCAACATCACTTACTAAATTGCTTGAGTGTACTAGACCAATTTGTAAAATACATTTGTGAATTATATTCTTAAAGATAAACTATGCAGAAAATTCTTCTAGACTATGTCTCCTACTTATGAAAATAAAAATGAAAAAGAAAAAGGAATGGGACATATAAATAAACCATGGATTTAAGAAAAAGGTATCACTTATATCATATATATGTATATATACATAAACATATATATATATATATATATAATTAAATTTACTGTGCAAAGACATTCACTAGCATAATGTAACATGTGCCTAGGAATATGAAGAGTAGCCAAAGACTACATCATTATTCAATTATTAAAGTAAAAGTTACTTAAAGAAAGAAAAAGACAACCCACAAAAGGGGAAAAAGTATTTGCAAGTCATACATCTGGTTAAGGACTTAATATATCCAGAATACTTTAAGAACTTTTAAAACTCACCTATAAAAAGACAAGGATTAAGGATTTATACAGATATTTCTCAAAAAATATACAAATGACCAATAAGCATGAAAAAAGCTCAATATGATTAATCATTAAGATAATGCAAGTCAAAACTGTAAAACAAACTACTACCTTACACACACAATAGTATAGATAATTTTCTAAAAACACAGAAAAATGACTTGATGGCAACATGAAAACAATGGGATTTTTGTGCTTGGTAAAACTGTTTGGAAGCTCTCAAAAAGTTAAATATTGAGTTACTATCATAGGTCCCAGCAATTCCACTCATAGTTAGTTACCCAAACAAAACAAATATAGATATATCCATACCAGAGCTTTATATTCATAGGACTGCTATAAAAGACAAAAGAAGGAACAATCCAATACCTGTAAACTGATGAAAAGAAAAATAGGGTATATCATACAACAAAATCTTACTTGGAAATAAAAAGTAATAAATACTAACTTGAAAATATTATGATAAATGTAGAAAACAGTCTGACATGGTTATATTGTATATGATTCATTTATATGAAATATACAGAATAAGTAGATCCATAAAAACAGAAAGTAGATCGATCAGTAGTTGCCAGGGACTAGGGAGAGAAGGGAAAATAAACTACTAATAAGTATAGGGCTTCTTTTAGGAGAGATAAAAATGTGAGATTTGATATGGCAAACATATTTAATTGTGCATGGTATATGAATTATCACAAGAAAGCTGTTAGTTTAAAAAGAAAAAAAATTAACTGACAAGCATAATTTTCTTCTTTTTCTTCTTCTTTGTACCAGTACTAGGGCTTGAACTCAGGGCCTTGTACTATGACTTAGCTTTTATTGCTTAAGACTAATGCTCCACCAATTGAGCCACAGCTCCATTTCTGGCCTTTTGGTGGTTAATTGGTGAACGAATCTCATACCTTTTCTGCCTTGGCTGGTTTTGAACCTTAAGTCTCAGATCTCAGCCTCCTGAGTAGCTAGGATTTTAGGTATAAGCCCCTGGCACCTGTCAGTATTATTATTAAATAGCAACTAAATGACATGCATATTTTAGTGTAGTGTATATTTTATCAATAGCATGAATGTGCTAAGAAAAACATAAATGGGCAATTCCTTTTGGGGAATCTTAAAATTGACACCAAAATTGGAAAAGCATGTGTATAAAAGCAACTTAACTCTAAGAAGTTTTAGGCTAAAGACATTGACTCAGGCTTCTAAGAGGCTTTTCCTCAAAATACATGTCTTTTTTGAGAAGGACCAAAATGTGCAAAAGAGATCTGCTTTCTATATTTTCTTCACATCTGTTCATCCTTGTGCATGGTTCTACTTCTGGCCTATTGAATTTGAAGTGTAAATCCAAAAGCATGGGAACCTAAATCTCCCCTATGAAACAATACTCCAAATTAAATAGACATTGAACATTTGAAAGAACGACATTAGAACATTAGGGTGATAGGTACCAGGGCCTTGAATAATTATTTCATTCTCCTCTCATCTACTCCAGTTAGGCTGACATATTCCAGAAATGTAAGTTACTCTATTCTTTTAAATTACGGGAGAAAAAAAATCAAAGCACTTCTTATAGACATATCCATTGCTTTAAACGATTCTTTTTAGCTACCACACCAACTAAGATGAATAGCAGTATGAAGGTGGTTCAGATAAATAATTGGTGTTAATTAGCTCTACTGTCATTAATATATCTTCCCCAACACCATTTGACATCAAACAGCAGTTAAAACCTTAACATTGATAGGAGAACATTATTTTTTTCCCAAAAATAAGTTCACTATAAAGAAATCCAGCTTCAGGAGCTATCAGTGTTAAAGCTAGTCTTGTACTATCATACTCACAAACTTAGAGCTGCCCCTATCTCTAAGGTACATCAACTTATCAAGGATAAATGGCCTTAATTCACTCAGATTGTTTCTTTCATAGTAGCTCCTGATGTGATATATTTCATTATTTTTGTCTTTATGAAAATAAAGAGGGGCTGCACCTTAGCAAACCAAAATAATCGTTTTAGAAATGCTGATGGCGCAAAATTCTGTGAGGTACATGGATGAGAGACTCATTGCCGCCTTGTGTCATACCTGGTATGCACTGTGCTGTGGCCTCAGTGGTTATAGTTGGAGCGACTGGGGGCTGCTGCTGACTGGAGCTCACTTCCGGCTCTGTGTTAACGGAAGGAGAAAGGGCTACCTCACAGGACGAGACCTGGCTGGGAAGATGAGGCAGGAACTCCTCAGAAGCAACTTGCTCATCCTGTCCAGGCAGCTGCAGGGCAGACAAAGGGATACTGATCTGTTTGTTAGGATGAGATGTGCTCACAGGCATCTGCATGGCCACCTGCTGGTTGGTGCCATGGGTACCAGGGTGTCCTCTGTTTGGTGATGCCAGAGATACCCTGGCAGTCTTTGGGATGAGTGGTCTGGAGATCACAGAGGGGGATGCTGACATAACATGTGGGTCTAGTTCTGAGCTGATGGCTGATGTTACATGGGGAATCAGCTTAGCAGACCCTACACAGGAAGGACCAGCATGAGTCTGAGGCTTGGGTTTTGCCATTTGGGTCAATGAAAGGGCTGGCCCATCTACCCCTCCAGTCAGCTCTGCATTTGCTACAATGTAGTAATCTTCTGGAATCTCTTGTTTGATTTTCTTGATGATGACATCATTACTGCATTCATCAACCATCTGTGTCTGGGAACTTGAATGGAGGGAAGACGGAACTATGGGCCTTTTGCGAGAAATGCTTTGAGGTCTTTGGGTTTGGGGTTCAAAGTCACTATCCTCATCTGTAACGGAAGACTCACAAACCATATCAAACAGGGTGTTTTCATCTTCATACTCTTCCACAGCTTCATCCACCTCTGAGGGCTCACTGCAATAGGAGAAGTCACAAGAGTCTCTGGTCCGGTTACAGTCTAGCTTTGTTTTCACAGCTCTCCCAGGGTACCTTTCAACAGGGCTAGTCTGTGTCTCAGAAGGCACCCCGATTATACTAGGGCTATCAGAGTTAAAACTTCGGTTGTCTTGGAAACAGACCCTCTCTTGGGATCCAGCTCTGCAAGTAGCTGTCAGTGGCCAGTGGTAAGCATGACCAGCACTGCAGCCCCACATTGCGGTCAGGTTCCCATGGGAACCTTCAGAAAGCAAATGTTTCAGGTTTGGAATGAGGCTGCAAATGGTCCCATGGCTGTGGGCCCAGCTGACCAATTTGGACAGATTTTCAGATGAGGTATGAAGACAATCCTCCATGTTACAGGATCAGCAGTGTCTTTCCTAAAGGGAAATAATCAAAATAAGAATCCATTATTACCTAAGACATTCCCATATCACAATTAATTTCTTCCATCCATGATCATTTGGATTAAAAAAGAAAAATGCACTTCAAAATTGTACCTAGTTAATATCCCTGGATTGGACAGGAGCCGAAAAAGAATATAAGTGTTCAGCCAAGTGCTGGTGGCTCACACCTGCTGTGTTTTAAGAAGCTCAAAACACATAAAACAGTCTTTCTCTCTTCTCTACATTTTCACTTTACCCAAAGTTGAACAACAAGGAATATAAATTAAATCTCTAAATTGTTAAACCATGAAAATAATGTAAGATCATACCATTTTAGACTTAAGGGATAGTGACTTATCCAGGCCACAGAACCCAGCTTCCAACTCAAACATCGTCAGAATGTTCTCCATTTATTGTGCTGCTTTATATCTTCTGGTTGCTCATGTATTACAGGTTGAACAACTCTAGTCCAAAATTTGAAATCTCTGTAATTTCAAACTTTGAGTACAGACACAATGTTCACAACGTGAGCAACCAGAATGCATGAAGCAACACAGTAAATGGAGAAAATTCTGACTGGTTGTACCAGTTGGGAACTGGGCTTTGTGGCCTAAACAAGTCACTATCGCTAAGTCTAAAATGTTATGATCTTACATTGTCTTCATATTCTAACAATTTAGGGATTTATTTCATTTATATTCCTTGTTGTTCAACTTTGGCTAAAGTAGAAATGTAGATAAGAGAGAAATACTGGTTTATGTGTTTAGAATTTCTTAAAACATACCAGGTGTGAGCCACTAGAGCCTGGCTAAACACCTCAACAGTCTTAATAACTAATTATTCATGTTCTCTCTGTGTGTATATGTGTGTGTATGCATGCCAACTCAAGCCTCTACCACTTGAGCCACAGCTCCACTTCTGGCTTACTTGGTGGTTAACTGGACCTAAGAGTCTTATGGACTTTCCTGCCCAGGCTGGCTTCAAACTGATATCCTCAGATCTCAGCTTGGTGAGTAACTGAGCCATTAGTGCCTGACTTTCATGTTCTCAACTTTTACAGTTAACATTGTGTGTAGAAGTTTCAGTTTTTTTGAGGTAAAGTCTTACTATGTAGCCCAGGCCAAACTTGAAGCTCACAATTCTCTTGCCACAGCCTACCAAATGCTAGGATTACAGGCATTTACAACCATGCCCAGCTTTTGAGTACATATTTTTATTATATATATATATATATATATATATATATATATAATCAGAAAAGGATGAAAATTATAATGGCATTCCATTTTCTTCAAATTGTTCAAACAGCAATACTAATTCATACACACTTACAAGTGATCTTCTCATCAATGGGATGACTGACATGATTTACTGTTCACAATCCACTCAAAGAGGTAAAAGAAAACCTAAATATGTATGAATATTTTAACTGCCTTTAATTCATATGTTTTTATTCTCCTGATAAAATGTCCAAGACTTAAGGCAGTAACAATGTTTTTAAAATAACAAATCTGTACCGGATGCTGAAAATACATCTCAACTTGGTAAGTAAACTAAAGGCATGCTGATCCCAGATTCCAGAAAACAAGGTAAAAATACATGTGACTTTCCATACTCCAACATCATCTAGCCAACATCATCAACAATTTCCATGTCAAGAAATTCAATAAGGAATGGGAATGTGGCTTAGTGGTAGAATGTTTGTGTAGCATGCATGAAGCCCTGGGTTTGATTCTTCAGTATCACATAAACAGAAAAAGCCAGAAGTGGCACTGTGGCTCAATAGGTAGAGGGCTAACCTTGAGCAAAAGAAACTCAGGGATAGTGCCGTGGCACTGAGTTCAGGCCATAGGACTGGCAGGGGGGAAAAAAGAAAGAAAAGAAAAGAAATTCAATCCATAGACCCCAATCCTCTTCTCTTGGCTGCTCAGCAGTTCTCAAATGTTCCCTGCCCCATGGTACCCCCTTCCCTTGGGTCCCATGGTATTCCCTTTATCATCTGTGAGCTCCATTTGCTGAGGCTCAGCACTTCTTTTTCATCTTTAAAACTAGAGTTTATTAATGTTTTTTTCTTCTCACATTATAGTCTCGTAAGATGATGATCTCCTCCACTCCTGTGAATCAGGTTATCAGATACATACCCTGACAATTAATAACCATGGTAACATCTTATTATATTGCCATCATCTCAGCTGCTGAAGCACAAATCCTAGGAGTCATCGTCAGTCCCAACAGCCCCTTTCAACTCTGTGCAGAACTTGCTGTAGAGCTGGTTCAATTTTTTTTTTTTTTTTGGTCAGTCGTGGGGCTTGAAATCTGGGTCTGAGTGCTGTCCCTCAGCTCTTCAGCTTAAGGCTAGCGCTCTACCACTTGAGCCACAGTGCCACTTCCAGTTTTCTGGTGGTTAATTGAAGATAAGAGTTTCACAGACTTTCCTGCCAGGGCTGGCTTTGAACCATGATCCTCAGATCTCAGCCTCCTGAATAGTTAAGATTACAGGCGTGAGCCATCAGCTAGGGCTGGGTCAATTATAAGAATTCATTTCAACTGTTTTTTAAAATTAAGTTTTACAAAGTTTCTAAGTTTTAGTACTGAGATCACTCTAAAGCTTACAGAAAAAGATGAAACATTCAGATGATGATGAATTTTCTTTCATCATAAGCCTCAAGTTAACATATTATTTTGCAGTACTGGGGTCTGAACTCAGGCCCTTGTACCTGCTAAGCATGTGATCTAGCATGTGAGCCATGCATCAGTCTTTTCTTGCTTCGTTATTTTTTCAGGTGAAAACAGACATTTTTTTGCTCAGGGCTGGCCTCAGACAACAATTCTAACTGGTGGTCTCTTCCATTTCTGAGATGACTGGCATGTGTACCACTTCCTGACTTATTGTTTGAAACAGAGTCTCTAACATTTTTGCCTGGGCTAACCATAGTTTTCCAATCTCTGCCTCCAGAGTAGCTGAAATTAAAGCAAGAATCATATGAACCACCGTGCTTAACCCTAAATTAACATTTCAAATGTGTTAAGCTCATATTACATAACATTTTTGGTACAAAATGTTATGCAAGTTAAATTCCTTCATTTTCACTCAGTCTTAGGAAGTAAGGACAGGTCTGTTTCATTATTGTGAAATATTTTCTCATGGGAATGAGATTTCAAGCTACTGTGTGGTTCATTTTAACAGCCACTCTATTCTGATTCTCATTTTTAGGAATGGAGATGGCAAGTATTGAAAATGATACAATTTTTTTCACTGAAAATGGTGAGTCAGTGATAATGCTGGGAATGTGAGTAACCTACTTTTATTCATAAAATGAAATATTTTAGAAACATTGAAATAGGCTTAGAGGCATTAAGAGAACTTGAATTTCAGGACACTGGTAATAAGGCTAATAGATTTTATTTCTGATTTATTTTATACTCTTGTTTATAACTCTGATTTATTTTATAATTAATGACTTACCAATGAAATTTGTGTAGCTAAATATGCTTCTATTTCAGGGAAGGCAAATCTCTCCTTATCTTGATGGCTTTCAATTCCTAATTTTTATGCCAAAGCATCCAGTATGTCAGATCATTGTGTGTGAGGAGTGTATGTGTCTGTGTTTGGGGGGCGGGTAAACAGCTTTGAATTCAGAGTCTTGCACTTACAAGGCAAGTGTTCTACAACTTGAAACATCCTACTACCCTTTTGGGGGGCTACTCCAAGATAGGCTCTCAATTTCTTCTGGGCCAGCCTGGGCTGCAATCCTCCTGTTTGTGCTCTTCCTCATTTTCATTTTGGTTATGGGGCTTGAACTCAGGGACTAGGCACTTTCTCTGAGTTCTTTTTGCTCAAGGCTAGTGCTCTACCAAATTGAGCCACCAGGCCACTTCTGGATTTCGGGTGGTTAACTGGAGATAAGAGTCTCACTGACTTTCCTGCCCCAGCTGGCTTTGAATTGTGATCCTCAGATCTCAGCCTCCTGAGTAGCTAGGATTACAGTTATGAGCCTCTGGTACTCTCTTGTGCTTTCCCCTTTTGATGGATATAATAGTACACGCCACTACAACCAGCCCTGGTGCTTTTCCTGTAGATGAAATAGTAGGCATGTGCTACAGCACCTAGCTATTGGTTGAGACAGAGTCTCAACCCAATGCTGGGTCTAGCCTCAAACCAAGATCCCCCAATCTTCGCCTCTGTAGGATTATAAGCTTAAGCCACTATACCTGGTCATTCATTATGCCATATAATATTCTTAATAAAATTGTTAACCATGCTCAAAGTTTACCACGTTTCTTACTGCAAAGGATATTAAATTCATAGTATCAAGTATTTAGTCAGCAACACACATAACATCTTTTCTTTCTCATGTTATAAGTTACATTTACAAGTGTCTCTATGTTGATGAATCTTACATTACAGTTGCTATTTCCCAACCCCATCAGTGGTTCATCCTGTCTTTTATGTTCAGAATTAAGTTCTTCAATGGCTCCAGCACTTCTCCTTTCTAATGGTAGTTTCACTAGCTGATGATTTTATCCATCTGTAAATCTAGTAAGCAGATGTATATAATCTACCTTAAAAAATCCTGCAACAATAACTAGTATATGTCTAGGACAAGCAGAAAAGGTCAAAAGCTATGTACATATGACCATATAAGCTGATGCTAAGCGAAATGAACCCCAAGATAAGGACACAAGAGATTTTTCTTTCTTGCTGTTCTTTTTAATGTACTATGTGATTTTTTTTTGTTTCTTTATATGTTCTTCCCTCATGGTATAATACCTGTTGTCACTGTATTTGATTCTGGTGTCCTGCATCTTGTATATACATTTTTCTAATTTGGGGAGGGGAAGGGAAACAACAAAATGCTGAAATAAGGATACAGGATGACCCACTGTAACAACAAGATATAGAAGACACTAGGTTGAAAACAAAATTTACAACTTTGGGAGGGGGGAAGTTGGGGAGGTGGGAGGGGAAGGGATGGTAGGGGAAAAACAAAGGA